TTTACATAAATTTAATTCTGATAATGTTTAATTCGTGTATGTCAAGCCCCTCACTTCTAGGAACTACCACAATTTTTAATAGCAACAAAAGAGAAGAACTTAAGGGCCGCCCAAACGGCTAATTGAGTAAATTATGAATCTGTCTGACCACTACAAGCCAGCCTAAAATGCCTTTATTCTCAATTTGCAATTTGCTCAGGCATGCAATAGTATTAATTATTTATATATATATTTATTTATAAATTATTTTCGAAAATTTCTGTATAGGAATTCGAACATAGCACTTTTCGACTGGCTTCAGTACGAATTTGTGTAAAAGGAGTTTGCTGTTGCAAGAGAGAGAGAGGAAGGAGATTGATGATTTAACATCCAGTAAATGCGATCGCCCCTCTGCAGGGAATTTCAATCCCTCCGAGTATATTTCTGACATAAACTGTAGGACCCTCCAATTCGAAATCAAAATCAAGATGCTTTTTAAGAACTTCGACCGTGATGTGTCATACCCTGGTGTGCTTTGTCTTTTTTAAAGTTATGGAAAATGCTTAAGTGAATTTTTCCTCGACGATTCTATTTGATTAGGTTTCTCTAGTTAGGCGCAGGCAAACTCATCCAAGTAAGAGACAAGAGACACTCGTAGAGATGTAAGGAGAGAAGACGTTGCTTAGCTGGTCGGTAAAAATTTCAGATTTCTCGAAAACAGTTTTCGGCCAGAAGGTTTTGAGGTTTCGAGGCGGCAGTCACCGACCTACAGCCCCATTAACTCTTTAGCTTTCTACAGAGTATAGTTGGGATTTAGGGTTGGAACCAAATATTGCAGAAATTCATACAAAAATTGTCTCAAAATTTAAGCTTATGGTTTTATTATAAATCCGTTTTTTCTACGTTTGTCCTACATAAGACTTAGTTCCGTGGCAATTTCTTCTCGCTTGAGTTTCTTCCTTACATAAAGCTTGCAGTTGTTATTTAGTTGAAACTTTTTTGAGCAGCAGTAGACTTCCACACTTGCATACTAGACAGTTTTAGCTCTATAATATCTTCGTCAGTCTTAAGAAACCGCTTAGGTGGAAGTAGTCCAACTCAATATGATTTTAAATTGTCTCTAGTTCGAACAAAGATTGCAAAGTTGGCGCTTTTAACTGATCTTTTAAAGCTACCTAGCTGTGGTACCGATTACTGTTGAAGGATCTGAAGAAAGATCCAGTCTAATTTTGCAGATGTTTTATATGTCCGGAAGAGAATATATATGGAGACTCATAAATATGGTTGCTTTGTCTAGATGAAGTAGGTCGAGAAGCTCTGGTGGTCGGATCAGCGTGTACTCTCTTGTTCAAAGTGAGCAAAAATGGATGTTTATTATTTGTTTTGTATTTTATGTATTTAAGATTTTTACGTTCTCCTAAGTAATTCACATTGCACGAACTACCCACACATATGTATGTATGTATGTATGTACCTCTCCTCGCCAAACAACTTCCATCATTTCCATCACTCACCCAGGCGAAACCAAATTAATTCCGAAAGTGTGCGGCAGCAACGTCATTTCTTATTTATACCAAAGATTTATGCAAGATTTAAGGCTCGGTTAAGCTAATCCAAGGTGTTGGCTGCAGCAGCAGCAGAGCAGCAGCAGCAGCAGCCGTAGTAGCAGCATAGTGAAAAATGTGCAAAAGCACAAGCATGCATAGTTTGGTGTAAGTTGCAGCATCTCGCGAGCAGCGAGCAGCAACAGCAAATATTATTTAAATCAAATTTCCGCACATTTCTTTTTATCTCCAACGCCACCGCAGTGCACCCGGCGTACTCATGAATTCAAAGCCACAGAAGGTAAACTTTGACGGCGTAAGCACACGGTTTCATGAATTCCCACAGGATGCAGCTGTGAGGTAACAAAGAATTGCTAGGAGTGTAAGTGCAAACACATATGTGTGTATATATGTATGTGTGTAGTGCAAAGTGGTGTGAAATTTCGTTGTACTTTTTCTTTGCGAATATTTTATGGCTTTTTATTTCATTTTCATATTTTTTACATTTACATAGGTACTACATATGTATGTATATATGTTTGTATATGCACATACAAGTGTATATATATATGTATGCAATTCTCTAGTGTTTGAAGTGAGTTTTGGGCTCATTTTCGTTTTTTTTTTATTTTATTTTTTACAATTTTATTTTCCGTTCGCTTTGCAGAACAACTAACACCACCAGCACTTGAGCCTCACCTCTGAGTGCGCGTGTAAGTGTGCGTTAAACTCCAGTGGGAAAATGCTCAATGATATTAACTAAAGCAGCCATCACCTTTTCTCCACACTTGGAAGCTCATTTTAGCACATTTTAGCAAGTTGTGCAAAGCATCCAACAATAAACAGGCAAAAAAAAAATGCAATACGTTCGAGTGCGTGCTCTGCTGCAAAAGGAAATCCAGCGTAAATGACTCGAGGCCATTTGAGCTGGGGAAAGGAGCTTTAAAATATGCACCATTCTCGAATAGCCTTCGCAAAATCTCATTGCATGCATGTCTGAGGAGTAGTAAACGCGGTAAGTTTTTAACGATTATGAGTGTTACATGAATTGCCCGTTTAAATTCAAATCGAATAAATTTCAATGTAAGGATTGAATAAACTGGCACTGAAGAGATTATTATAGTTTAGATTCCTTTTCATATCAATGGTCGCAAGCCCATTTGTTAGGCTTTCAAGCGCATCTTACACAATGCCTGCTCTCTCTCTCCTCTCTCTCTCTCTCTCTCCTCTCACTCTGTCTCCTCTCTCTCTCTCTCTCCTCTTGCTCCCTCCCTTCTCTCCCCCTCTCTTCTCTCTCCCTCCCTTCTCTGTCACTCTCTCCTCTCTCTCCCTCCCTTCTCTCTCCCTCCCGTCTCTCTCCGTCCCTTCTCTCTCCGTCCCTTCTCTCTCCCTCCCTTCTCTGTCACTCTCTCATCTCTCTCTTCTTCTATCATTCTCTTATGTTTCTCTCCTCTCTGTCTTCCTCTTTCACTCTCTTTTATCTCTCTCTCTCCTCTCTCTCTTCCTCTATCACTCTCCCTTTTCTCTCTTTTTCTCCTCTCTCCCTTCCTCCATCACTCTCTTTTATCTCTCTCTCTCTCTCCTCTCTCTTTTCCTCTATTTTTTATCTCTCTCTCTCTCTCCTCTCCACCTCTCTCTACTCTTTCTCTCCCCCTCTATCCTCTTTCTCTCTCCCTCTCTTCTCTTTCTCTCTCTCTCTCTTCTCTCTCTTTTTCACTCTCACCCTCTCGCTCTCTCTCTAACACTCTCTCGCTCTATCTCCATCTAAAACGCTCGCTCTCTCTTTCTGTCTCTCTGAAAAAAATTCCAGCTTCACTTGACATATTCAATTTATACTAAAGTTAAAAAAATGTTGACTAGATTAAATAGCAGCCGCTTCATGGCCCATTTGATATGAATATATAAAGTGTAGTGTACTGAAGAAACTTTTTTTGACGTACATAGGTAAATGTTATGACAAATCGAGAGAAATACGTGAAATTCAAAGCCCCTCAAGCCAAATATATAATACATGTACATCTCATTGTGGTACCAAAAATTGCTCTTACTTGCATCGAAATTGAATAGATCAGAAAAATTTTCCAGTTGGCAAGCTCAAAATCATCCGTTATAACAGTCCTGTCCGGTGAGCTGATGGAGAGTAGCAATTGGTATGACAAAAAGGCAGTAAACTTTGCGTTGGAAGAGCACAATCTTGACAGCTCACTGCTGGCTAATTTTTACTGACATTTCTCATCGAACAGAGCTAATAATATGCATATGAATGCATATATGTATTTATATTTATGTCAACCATACTGAACGAAAAAGTCAATAATAAGTAATCTGGCTTGTTGTCTCATCCAACGCGGTTCACTGAAAATTGATAACATCATCTCACCGAAAAGAGCTATGATAATCGCTTTGTAACCGCTTAAACGGTTTTCAGCCGATATGTATACTTAGATATGTATCGTTAGTGAATGATCAGATTCAATTATAAACTCCGATAAATAAACTTCGATAACATTTTAGAAGTTGATTATGCAGTTCCGAACAGATTGAATTTCGATTCCAATTGAAATCTCACAGAATTTACAGCTTATGTAATATATTTTGAAGCGTTCAAGTGATCTGCTTTACCACTGTGATTTCAATAGTGTATATTAATTTGGCATTTTGATTAGTAATCAGCTTTTTTTATTCCTTCCGAATTTTACCAAAATTATTATTAATATTTGAGATCGCACCTTGCAAAAGGGAAGTCTTATTTTAGTTTATTCCCAATTTACTCTCAAAAAAAATTTGAAAATAACGAGCCCTTGAAATTAAGAGCTCAACACTTTCACAAAAACAACCACAATAGCAAGCAGTCGAAACATGGTCCGCGTTGCCAATCAATGTTTAAGGTTTTCAATAACGTAAGAACTCATGCATATAAAAAGAACGTATATACGTTTAAATAATATGAAAAGGAAGCGAGTTAACATAAAAAGCAAAAAAGATATTTCATTATTCCCATTGCCACTAAAAGCATAGAACGTATATGAATAAAAAGCAACAAGATGCTACAGTCTTTGTGCAAAATCTATAGAGTCAAGACCAGGTGTTCGTGTCCTCTTCACCCCATTTTATGAACGAATATGAATAGGAGGGTAAATATTAATTAGACCAGCTTTGAATTGTTGCGCATCACGCTTGAAAGGGTATCAGAAGAGAAAAATCTAGCTATATGGTGAGTAACAAAACTTATTGAGTGGAGCTGTGAAATATCTAAACAATGAAATTTTACAAAATATCTACCGTAAAAGGTGAAAAATTTAAAAGGTGACACCAACAATTCAGTAATTATGTGAATTCCAGTTAAATTTCAGTCTTTCATCTATTAAAAGAGTGTAAATTTACGTTCAAATACATTCTTTGGCAGTTTGGCATGTCTGGCAATATCTGGCAATACATAAACTAAGTGTTGGCAACGCACCGAATTTTGAAAATCCGGCAGCATTTCGTTCGTCGAGCAAAAGTGGAATGCTGAATTTTCTGTGACCGCTAGATTCTTTTGTTGGAAAAGTCATTGCAAGTGTCAAAATACAATAAATATACAAAGTTTAAAAAGTTATCGTGCCGAGAAATCGTGTCATACTTTAGCTTTTCTTGTTTATAAACATTTACATGGATTAAAAGCGTGTGCAAGTGAAAATATCGAACCGCATATAAGACTTTTCTCATCAATGCTAGGAAAGGCACTCTAACCAGAAAATTGTGTGTGAAAAAGCCAGAACTATAGTGATTGTTTGACTGCTGTCTGACTAGAGCGAGTGGAACGGAAGACAAATACAATACATTCGATTGAACGTTGCAAATCTTTCGAAAATAGCCAAAAAAAGTGTGAAAATAGCTTACACATACGCACCCGCACACACATTTGTGTGCTGTCAAATAAACGTCAAGTGTGCGTATTTGACATTTTCAACGTTTGCATTCACCGTCTGATGTAAAATCCTTCTGGAAAAATTAATTTTTCCTCATACCAGCAACAACAAAATATACAGATTTATATAAAGTACAATAATAAAGCAAAAGTGTTTTTGAACGCGAGTCATCGTATATAAATCATTAAATACCGTGTTTACTAAACGCGCTTCGACGCTACTGCTCACATTTCATCAGCCATCATTTTCTGTGTTTTCCTGTTTAGTCCGAGCAGTCATCACGCAAAATGTTAATAAATTTGAGAGTAAAAACACTAGATGCTCAGACGCATGATTTTAGTATTGATAATGAGGTAAGTAGGCGCATTATGGCTAATAAGAGATTCCAATTAATGGCAGAATGTGGGAAAGCGACACCACTCCCTCCTACACAGTGATAGGAGGGGTTGTCTGTGGGAAATCGCCTCCGCAAAACTATTGTCTAACAAATATAGGTATTTATTTTCTATTTTTATTTTTTCACTATGTTGCAGTTGACTATTCGTCAATTTAAGGATAAAATCGCAGAAAAGACTAATATCGCTGCAGATCAACAGCGTATCATCTATTGTGGTCGAGTACTTGCCGATGAGAAACAATTGAAAGAATATGGTGAGTCAAAGTTTATGAATAGCATAAGCAGGTCAAAGTCGATATTATATTTAATTAAATTAAAATTCGTGACTAATAATTAATTAAAATTACCAACTGAGTTGTATTCGGTTGAATTGGTATTTTTGTTTTCTGTTTAATAAATCGTTACAGCCATCAGCTGTTCTAAATACCATAGTTTTGCTGAAATTATCATTAAAAGAGTAATTAAAACAAATTATTTCTTGTTTCAATTTTTCCCTCATAGATGTTGATGGTAAAGTCGTACATGTGGCGGAAAGACCACCGCCGTCTCAGCGCGGCCCCTCAACTTCCAGTTCGTCTACAAATGATACACCACCTACACGGGAGCGTACAAGTAATCGCGGTGGTATGCGTAATTCGCCACTATTTCGAGCCTTAGATGGCATGGTTGTCGGCACGATGGCAATACCAATGAATCCTGTGGTAAGTATTTAAATGAATTTTTTGTTCTATAATTTACGTAAACATTTCCAATACTTTTGTAGCAAAATAACAGTCCACAGCAGGGAAATCCTTTCGCTGCTTCGTCGTCATTTTGCATGAACCGTATAACAGTGGCGCGTCATATGTTGGACTGTGCAAATAACATTGCTGCTTATTTAGAAGATCCAGAAAGGGTGAGTATCAAATAGTGTCGCATTGAAAAAAATTATGTTGTGTTATTGCACTTTATAGGGTCTTAATAATACCTCACTGGACATTTTGGCCCGTGGAAGTTGGACAATGGAATCTACTGTTGTCGAAGTCGGCTTTACTGCAGCAGATTTACCACAAAACCAAAATATTGTTGAAATGGTACAAGATGCGGTGTCGGCAGCTTTACGTCGTAATAGTAACACAAATGTTACAGTTGTGCAATTACCAACCGTATTCGGTTCTAGTGAAGGTGGCGAAGCTGATGCTGCCTTGAGAAATATTGACGCTGCCACAAATATGGACGCAACTGAAGACGGTGCAGCTGTTGAAGCTGAAGGCGCTGCTGCTGTCATTATAGAAGATGTTATTGATGATGCTTTTGAAGGTGGAGCGACGGGTTCTAATGATAATGGTGTTTCTGAAGCTTCTAACGCAAATAACACAAATAATGCAAGCTTAGCTACTAGCCCGACAACCTCTGATAATGCAGGAGCAGCAGCAGACACATCGAATGCATCGACTAATACGGGCACCAACACTGAAGAAAATCAATCGCGTCGTCGCACTAACACGCGAGTATTGGCAGAAGTGGTTGCACAAATGCGCACTGTACAAATTCGCCTAAATCCTTTCATACAACAATTTTATGAGCTATTGAATAATGATCCTACATTCGAAGAAGGGGTAAGTGTGTTACGCTTTAATGTATGTCTTTGAATAAATTGAAACATGTTTGATTTTTAAAATTATTTTAGGATACTAGTGGACGTGAAAATGCACAACGTCTTTATAACCGAGTTTCGGAAGCATTACACTACATGTCTCATGCTCAACACGCTATATCCGATCTAATGTTGGACGTATCGCAACCAGCACCGAGATTTCTCACTTGCCGTCCCATATTGGTGGAGCAAAGTGGTTATGTTAGTTCTAATAATTATTTGTCTACTGCAGCAGCGGCTGTTGCTGCGGCAACGGGTAATAATCAAGCGCGTCCACGCACCCGCACCTTTATATCGCCACGTTATAATCATCCGGTAACCATAACAACCAATTCACAACCAACAACTGTTAGTGGTAATGGTACAGCAAACGGCAATGACACTGCTGCTGCAAATGTGTCAAGCAATAATAGTGGTAGTGGTAGTGCTAGTGGTAGTAGCACTACCGCTAACGGCGGTGCTGCTGATAGCAATAGCACAACTGCTAATGCAAGTGGCAGTGGTAGCGGTAGTTCCATTGAAGATCCAGTTGATGAGCCATTGACCAATCCGAATGCTCGAGGTTCTGGTAGCGCTGCAACAAATGCCGCTACACAAAGCAATGGTAAAATGCCAATAGATTTTGTAAACATTTTATTTAATATTTATTGTTTTCACTTGGTTTCCGTTTGCATTTTGCAACATTTATAGATGGTAGTACGTTAGAGATTGTGCTCCAACCCAGGCGTGGATTGTATTTTGGCAGTAGGTTTTTTGTGTTCATGCAACTGCAAAAAATAATGCATTGTTTTTGTTAAATATTTTTGCTTTACGCTTTCATCCTCGTAACATTTATTTTTAAATCTAGACCAATTGGGCTAAAATTATTTGTTGCCTACATAACAATAGTCTCTTTGAGAGTCCAAGAAGTTAACTTGATTGAAAATTCAAAATATTGTCAGCCATTTTAAAAAATTGTGCCTGTTGTTATAGAGGAACCTCATACGCAAAAATCTAATATTTTCAGTTACTAAACCATTTAATCTAAAATTATTTTAAATATAAGTTCTTACTAGAGTTGTTTTTTATTGCAAGTGAAATTCTTTTCTATTAACCATTAATTTTTACATTTTGATTTTATTAAAATAAAAATGTTTTTACTCACAACTGAAAATGTTTATTCAATTTACATTTTCCGAAGACAAAATTATTAAATAAACTTTTTAATTCACTTTTATAGATAATCCTCAAGTGCAGATGTCACGTCTTATTCAAGCTATGGTCAACTCGGCGCCCATAAACACCGAACTTCATGTGCAAATATTGCCACCCACCATAGTGAGTGTGCCAGTGAGCGCGCGAGTTGCTGCTGGCAACAATGCAAATAGCGAACAGCGTGCACAAGCTGGCGCCTCCGCAGCAGCAGCAGCAGCAGCAGCACGAGGGACAGCAACTGGTACAGCCACAGCCACAGGCGCAGCTGCAGCTAGCAATAATAATGCTTCGAATAACAGCAATAGTAACAGCGCCAGAGCAACGGCAAACGCCAACAATGTTAACAACAATCTTAATAGTAACAACTCAGGAGCAGCAGCAACAGGCATTATTTTGGCTGGCAACAATGCAAATCGTCCCGTTTCCGCTTCTCTGGCAATTGGCACCTTACCAACAACATCGACACAAACGCGTTCCACATCCAGACCACAGCTACAGATCGGCGGCATACCGGCAAACGGCTGGAATGGTCGTTTTATACCGGCTAATATGATGTCGTCATTCGATCGTTTCCTACCTTGTAATAGTCATCACATTCGTGAGCCAGAGACTAACAGTAATGGCAATGGGGGCAATGGAACCAATGGAGGCAATGCCACCCCTGTGAATGCAAATACAAACTCAACTACAAATAATCCCACACCACAAGTAAGAGGTGAGTGGCAATCAAAAAATAAAGTAAAAAAATATAAATTTATTACATAAGCTTAACATTTTTTTTAAACTCCTTTGCGTTGTTAAAATTGAGTGTAGTTCGTTTACTTTACAGATTTTTTTCCAACATTTTTTAACTCCTTTCTTTTCCTATTGGAATTTATCTAATCTAGCAGCCGCCAATACGCCTAATCCACGCCCACCACGTACGCTCGCTGATATATTGTCAGTCGGACGTGCCACACCCACAGCTGGTGGTCCGACAACATCAACGATAGATCAAATACGCAACTTACTTTATGGTCCATCAACATCAAGCCCTTCTGGCTCCACTCCTACAGCCAGTAGTTGTAGATTACAAGCTGAGTTTCGCAACTTTTTTGCTGAACAACTTTTCTACAATACATTAATTAATGAGCAAACAGTGCCACCGATTGTGGATAGTACTATACTTTGGATGAATCGAATACTCGTGCGGTTGCCGGAATATGAGTTGCCCGAGGTTGACGCGCGTAAATCAGTGGCCAACATTGTGCGTCTTATGCTGCCGCAATTCATCGAGACAGTAGTCGATGGACAGTGTAGTATGTCAGAATTCGAGGAACGTTTGATGAAAATTTGCAAAGACTTCATAACGCGTCTCTATAGTGTTTTTATTATTTGTGCTGGCAGAAGTAATGCCGATGTATATTGGCCAACTGTGATGAGTTTGTTCCAGATGCTGATAAATGGATGTGAGTAGAAGTGCTGATAAGCGCTTAATAGTTTTGTTAACTAACTAGAACTTCTCTTTCTGTTTTTCTTTAGATTTCTCTGGTGAAGCTCTAGCGTTTTTACGATTTTATTTTAATCGCGCTATTCCATCCTCAGTGGACACAGAAGATGCACAACAATTTATTGTCTATAGAAATGTAAGGAAAAAAGTAATATTTTCGTTGCTAGTTATTTTCTCTTTTGGTGGCCGCAGTAACCGAGTGTACTGAGTAATCCTCTCTAATTTGCAGTCCTCGGAAACTGATGTTGAAATGGAGAGTGTCGAGGCGTCGTCTCCATCTGGGGTAAATAACCGAATGGAATTTACAATAGACATCGATAACGATGTAGAACTCGAACCTGTCCCTGTCGAACCGTTGCCCAGTGTTACCGCCGGCTCTGAACCGTGGCATAGGAATTTCCCTGAAGACTGGCTACCAGTTATAACACGCGATCTTCAACTACAAAGTGAAGTAGGTTTTATTCGTTTGTCATTGTATATATATATAATTTAAATGTGAATGTAACTTTATTGTATCATATGCTATTCGCTTCAGAATCCACCAAATCAAGCTCCATTCTCGGATGCGTACATATCAGGCATGTCTTCGAAACGAAAGAAAATGATACAAAACAATAAACCACCAACAGATGTCAGCTCACTAATCGCGAGAAGCGTACGCAAAGCCATACAGACAGTTGGCCCACGCACGCCTGCTGCGGCAACTGCAGGTGCTGCGACTGCATCCACCTCTGCGGCAGCATTGACAGCAGAGGAGATTACAGAGGCGATTGCTAACGATACAGCGGTGCAAGCTTCATGCACGGAGACGGTGCGCGTCAATGTACGCGAACGCTTAAAGAAAGACAGCGATTATAAAGCTGAGAAATTTCCACATACTGCAAAATTTGTGAACAAATAGAATTCATAGCAGGGTGCTTTTTAGCATAGCGAGCATTATTAAAGAAAGAGAAAGAAACAAAAAAAAAAGAAAACGAAAAAACTGAAGAAAAATGAAAATGAAAATCATTAGCATGTATACGCAAAAAGCATTGCAACTGAAACGAAATTAAGTTATAAATAATGAAAGGTGCATGAGGAGAAAAGACGCAGAATTTGCTGGTACTTGTTATAGTAAAAAAAAAGATTATAAAAATGATTATGATTATATTGTATGTAAAACTATATTTTATTTTTGTCACTTTTATTAAGTTTATGCTTTTCTATATTAATAAATTGCGCATGCGACACATGCGAAAGAGAAGGACAACAGTAGAGAAGGAAATAATATGATACCGAAAAAAAAAATAATAATAATTAAATAAACAATTGTACTTTATACGATATTAATACTAAAAAACCACAAAAAAAAATAAAAATTTACTTGTATTGGTAAATAAGATATACTTAAGGTAGGCAGCAACCCCGAAATAGGGACAACAGCAAAACAGGCAAAAAGCAACAACAAATATATAACTAAATAATAAATATATAACAAGTTTCACACATTTTATGTATAGTGGATATAAAAACTAAGATGAATAAAACATAATCCATCGCGCTTTCATGTGCAAATAAAAATTAATTTAGCTTTTAAGTATTTTATTTCACGACTGAAGAGATGGAAGAGTTCTAAAGGAGATTGGCTTTCGTATAAGCCGCATATCTCCTCACAGTAGTTTGTATATCTTGGCAGTATAATATTGTATATAAATATTATTAATTTTATATCATCAGGAGGGAACGCAATGCGCGCAGCATGCGCTGGATACCAAATTTGAAGAGGCAAACGAGACGTATGTGCTATATGCAATGAGTCCCCACATAAAACTAATCACCTCTACCTTTGCACAGCTTAGGTCTGGATACTGTAGCAGGTTAAACTCTTACTTACCCAGACTCGACCCCAGCATATCCAACGCATGCCCTGCATGTGGAGAGTCTCCGCGCGACACTAACCACCTCTTCATATGCCCCCTTAAACCGACTCATCTAACCCTCTCTCCCTTTAGTCCAATCAACAAAGCTCGTTTCCTGGACCTCCCACTAGATGACCTCGGCGACTTAGATTAATCAACAACAACAACTAATCATCTCTCTTGGCCTACCCACTAAAACCCACTCAGCTAACACTCTCACTGCTTCTGTTTCGAGCCCGTCGAAACGACTGTTTCGAGCCCGTCGAAACGACTGTTTCGAGCCCGTCGAAACGACTGTTTCGAGCCCGTCGAAACGACTGTTTCGAGCCCGTCGGCACGACTGTTTCGAGCCCGTCGGCACGACTGTTTCGAGCCCGTCGGCACGACTGTTTCGAGCCCGTCGGCACGACTGTTTCGAGCCCGTCGGCACGACTGTTTCGAGCCCGTCGGCACGACTGTTTCGAGCCCGTCGGCACGACTGTTTCGAGCCCGTCGGCACGACTGTTTCGAGCCCGTCGGCACGACTGTTTCGAGCCCGTCGAAACGACTGTTTGCTGCTGAATTGGTCGTTAGAAAAACAGTGAAACGACGAAAGTCGATGATCTACGACCATAGCTAATCCAATAGGGTGGCGGAAGAACTGATAAGGTACATGCATGCATCAATTTCTTTATCAAAGTTGGTTTGGTGATGGAAACTAAAGTGTGCCCTGCCAAAAATTAAAAAGGAGAAACTTACAATACAATACTATGCATTATATGCTTTATTGAGAGAATTGTGTGACAATTTATAGACACACACAACAACCGCAGTACGAGACGGCGAACAGACTGGCATTAAGCGTCATTCACTTAGAGTCCATCCAACACTTTCATGAGTTCTCTTTCTGTGAATGGCGTTCTTGAAGTCAAACCACCACTTTTTCCTCTGGTTCGAACCTGTAGAAACAGCTAATTTCCTGGACTTACCGTTAGATGACCTCGATAACCTCGATAACAAAAATAATATTTTTTTAATTAAAGTCGATTTTATATCTTTTAAATTAATATTTTTTTTTATTTAAATTATTTTTCCATAATTTTTAATGGACTGGCTTAAATTCAAAATCATTGAAATAGCTGACAGCACGTTCACTAAGTCCTATTGCTCAAATGAACACTCCAGCTCCAGCCGATGGAAGTTGATGAAGTGGACCCAAAGCTCCATTCCATACAAAATATCAAATAGAAGCATCGCCTATCGGTCGGCACGCTATTTACTTCAGTTACCAGATGCTGAAATGAAATTACATAATAGAAGGGTGTATGAATAATGTAATAATAATAATATCATTAATTTTAATAATATTATGCAGCTTATGTGCATTAAATTTTTCGTCACTCAACTGTCCACTTTATCTCTGTTATCGATAACTTTATGGCAACCGAAGGTAATGTCCATTCCGACGTAACAAGTTTTCTATGTTTTCTACTCGTATTACGCCTTAAGGTATGCTTTAATTTTTGTGTAATAATTTACCGATCTGCGGGGGTCTAAGGTCGTTATATCAACGCTTTTAAAAACATGATTGTTCAGGTGATGATTTTAAGATTTTTTATTATTATATTAAATTATAATTTTTTAATAAATTAAATTATTTTTTTTTTTGACAAATTAAATTTCTTTTTATTAAACTAAATTTTTTTTATTAAGTTAAATTCTTATTCTTTTATTAAATTAAATTATTGTTTTTTATTATTAAATTAAATTATTATATTTATTTAATTAAATCAAATATTTTTTAATTAAGTTGAAATAATTATTCTTTAATTGAATTAAATCAATTTTTAAATTATTTTAAATATATTTTAAATAACTCAAATTATTTTTTTTAAGCTAAAATTAATAAATTTTTTGTAGAAGCTAAATTAATTTTTATTAAATTTAATTTAATTCTTTTTTGATAAAAAAAAAATTAATTGTTTTATATTTAATTTTATTAAATTTTTTCTTTTTTAAATTAAATTAAATTAACTTTTTTTTGGTTTCGTTTTGGCTAGCCCCACTGTGAAATTATTTTGTTATTAAATTAAATTCTAAATTTTTTTAATAAAATTATTACTTTTTATTAATAAATTAAATTCTTATTTTTATTAAATTAAATCAAATATATTTAAATTAAGTTAATATAATTATTATTCATTTGAATTAAATCAATTTTTTAAGTTAACTCAAGTTAATTATTTTTTAAATAACTCAAATTATTATTTTTTAATTAAATAAATAATTTTGTTTATAAGTTATATTGATTTTTATTAAATTAAAATTTTTTTTTATTAAAGTAATTCTTTTTTAATTAAATTAAATTAACTTGTTTTTATTATAATAATTTCACCATGGTTTCGTTTTGGCTAGCCCCACTGTGAGTGGGTATATAACCACTTGCGTGCCAAAAATAGAGACATCACACATACATATGTATGTTTTTATTACCAACACTAGCCCTAGATCAGTGTATTAAAGCACAAAACGTAACTGATAAATTCATTCATTAAAATTTTCCTTTGGAATTTTGACTTTTAATCGCATTCCGACACTATCACCGGCGGCACATGATGTTATGACGACAGCGAAATATTTTTGCTTTTAGCTTTGCCGTATGTGTTAAGTTTGTCTGTATGTATGTACACGTATGTAGGCATATTGACGTCCAAATTATGGAATTCGAATTAATTTGTTCAAGAGATGCAAATGGCCAAAATACATACATATATATTTAAATCCAAAGAATATTTTAATTGCCGCCTAGGCGCCGATACCATAACCAAATTGTTTATCACTATAACAATTAAAAATTTAGCAAAGCACTTAGTGTACATTACATACATGCATATGTACATACGTAAGCATGGACATTGTTCAATGAAAAAGTGGTTCAAAGGTTAAAATCCATGGCAATGTGTTTAAGGTAAATTTTTTTGTTAAAGAAAAGATTTAAGCAAAGCTTGGGCTTTATGTGGCTCACGGTGTATGTACAAGCCATTGAGGAACATTTTACACTCGCATCTACTCCTGCTTCTGTTCTTAATATAATTGAATTAATGAATTTTTTGCTTACAAAAATGTGAGGAATTCATCCGAAACACGACATTTGGCTAACAAATCAATTGGCAGGTCGTACATGTCACTGCCCACATATTTATAATCTTTCGTATAAAAATTATTTATCACTTTCAAAATATCTTAGGTGACATAAACAACCGTATAAACCAGCAAACAAACACAAATTCATATACACAGTGGCGAGAAAAATATTGACACCATAATGAGATACACAATTTTTGTGCCGACATTCGATGAAACGAATCTTCGAATTATTCGAACATGACTCGCGTTGGAAAAATATGATTTTCATTAATCGAATACATTTTTCATTTCAAAATGACGATATACTTATATATTCGAAAAGTGAAAGTCCTTTTGAAAAAAGGAAAGGAAATTCCATGGCAGGCTACATGAAAAGAGCCGGGTGGAGCTTATGAACGACCCTTAAACCGTCAATGAAGGGCTATAGAATGAACATGATTTACATAGAAATATGCGCTGAAAACATTGGGTAGCCCCGGCATGAAAATAACCTTAAGGTTTAGGTGTTCTGCTTCATTTTTGGAAGCTGGTGCAAGGACCGAGGATGGGTTATCAACCCAGTGGTAGGTGCGAATCTCCTACTTCTAAACCAATCCTGCTCGGAATAACCTTAGATAACAAACTCAATTGGCGCCGAAACACTGTACTATACCAATCTTAATAATCTTATTATTCATTCAGCAGCATACTTTAGAGGAAGTTCACTGGTTAAGAGCCACTCTGTCGACTCTGTCTAATGCTCTGGTAACTCTCCTCAATTTTCTCTTCACTAGAGCTTAAAGAATCGCTAAATAGGACAGGCAGAGTTTGGAAGAGTGGAAGAGCTGAAGAACATACTCTCCAAATTCTGCTTTTACAATCTCTCCCAGGGAGGAGCGAGTGTTCACCGTGGCAAGTAGTCCATTGTGTTGTGCCCTTCGATTCTTTCACATTATGTGAAACAGTCTTAACGTTCTTACAAAAGCTAGCATGCTAGAAGATATACTCGTATATGATTGATTTAAAGAGATTTCGCGCCGGCTTCGCATTCAAACTGTTAGTAAGAGAGTCACAGCTGACTTTATAAAACTCGTTGACAAAAGGGATCGCGGATCGCGGATCGCACTCACCGATGGTTTTAGTTGATATAAACATGAGACTACCACAGCATAAATATCAGAGTCTTCCAAGCAGTAATCGTAATCATGAAAGCCTAACAATAACAAAATAGTCCGACAACCAAGCTGCCATTAGATATGAAGGTGTGCGCTGAAAACGGCCGTAATATGAGTCCCCGAACATAGGATCATCTCAGGAAACTGCGTGGTGGACGAGCTAGCGAAAGGAGGAAACCGGGCACATGATGGGGGTACACCTCAGTCTATGGCAAAATGCATGTTTAGACTAGTTTTTGCTGGAGAGGCGAACTCCATATGGGTAAATGTGATTATATGCACCTTGACTGGACAGACATGGCCAGCTTTGATGGTAAAAATAGCAAGGAATTCAATCCTTTCTATACCGGTTCGCCAACATTATAACGACTAGTATAACAAGAGTA